CCCGCCCCCCCCCCCCCCCCCTCCGCCCCCCCAACTCCCTCCCCCCTTTCCCTTTCCCCCCCCTCCCCCCCCCCCCCCCCCACCCCACCCACACCACTCCAACCCCCACACCCGCGCACACGCGCACATTGCCGGAGCACACAGATACATACTAACGCACAACTCCCTCCCCCTCACCCCCCCCCCCCGCCCCCGCCCCCCCCCCCCCCCCCCCACCCACCCCACCCCACCCCCACCCCACCCCACGCGCACGCACGCGCGCACCGCCCTGCCCACCCCACGGTCAAGACAGCCAACAAAAAAACAACACACACACACACCACACACCACACACGCACACGACTACACACACACACACCACACCGCACGCACGCACGCATGCACGCACGCGCACACACACACACACACACACACGCACACACGCACACACGCACACACACACACACACACACCCACCCACTCCCCACGCCAACCCTCGCCCCATTTCCCCACGCACCACGTAGGGCATCGTCATATAGCATGCCCCGTGCCGCATGTCCCATGTTGTGGCACGCCCCGCGCCCCATGTGGCATGCCCCCCTGCTCGCGCCCCATAGCGCACCATCGGGCGAAGAGCGCAAGTCTTTGAGTGGCTTCTGAGAGGCCTCTGCGAAGGTGTACGATAACATTTGGCGCTCTACAACGCATCGGCGAGATGCCACGTCGACTTTTCTATTGTGGACAATGCAGAATTCCGACGCGCGCGCGCGTCGGAGTTCTGCGTTGCCCACGCTAGAAAAAAGTCAACATGCAATTCTAAAAACTGAATTCTAAATTTCTGTGGCTCTTTAATGAGGGCGACGGGCGCGTCGACTTATCTGTTGTTGACAATGCAGAACTCGCGCGCGCACGCGTCGGAGTTCCGTATTGTCCCAAATAGACAAGTCGAAATGGATTTTAAAAAAGAGAATTCCGAATTTCTGTTGCTCTTTAAGGAGGCCGACGGACGCGCCGACTTGTCTATTGTGGACAATAATACAGAACTCCGGCGCGCGCGCGCGTCGGAGTTCTGCGTTGACCACAATAGAAAAGTCGACATGCAATTTTAGCAAGTGAATTATAATTTCCTGTGGCTCTAGAAGGACGCCGACAGAAGCGTCAACTTGTCTATTGTGGACAACACAGAACTCCGGCGCGCGCGCGCGTCGAAGTTCTGTGTTGTCCAGAATAGACAGGCCGACATGTCATTCTAAAAACAGAAGTCACAATTTCTGTAGCTCTTTACGAAGGCCGACGGACGCGTCGACTTGTCTGTTGTGGACAATACAGAACTCCGACGCGCGCGCGTCGGATTTCTGTGTTGTCCACAATAGAAAGTCGACATGCAATCCTAAAAACTGAATTCTAAATTTCTGTGGCTCTTTAAGGAGGGCGACGGGCGCGTCGACTTTTTTCGATCGTGGACAACGATACAGAGCTCCGGAGCGCGCGCGCGCGTCGGAGTTCCGTATTGTCCCAAAGAGACAAGTCGAAATGGATTTAGAAAACAGAATTCAGAATTTCTGTTGCTCTTTAAGGAGGCCGACGGACGCGCCGACTTGTCTATTGTGGACAATACAGAACTCCGACGCGCGCGCGCGCGCGCGTCGGAGTTCTGTGCTGTCCACAATAGAAAAGCCGACATGAAATTCAAACAAATGAATTCTAAATTTCTGTGGCTCTTGAAGGATGCCGACGGAAGCGTCAACTTGTCTATTGTGGACAACACAGAACTCCGACGCGCGCACGCGTCGGAATTCTTTTCTGTTGTGGACAATACAGAACTCCGACGCGCGCGCGCGCGTCGGAGTTCTGTGTTGTCCACAAAGGAAAAGTCGACATGCAATTCTAAGAACTGAATTATAAATTTCTGTGGCTCTTTCAGGGGGCCCACGGGCGCGTCGACTTTTCTATTGTGGACAATGCAAAACTCGCGCGCGCGCGTCGGAGTTCCGTAATGTCCCGAATAGAGAAATCCACGTGAATCTTTGAAAACAGAATTCAAAATTTCTGTGGCTCTACTCTAACCACTCTGTCCGTTTTGTTTCCAGCCCTTACTGTTGCCAGCTTCCCTGTGGGGTTTGGAAGGATTTAGGCTTCTTGGGGGGGGGGGGGGTCCTTGGAGGGCTCGGGGAGCACTTGAAACCGTTTGAGGCCTGTCGGAAGCATGTCAGGAGCTATCTTGAGCCATCTTGACATATCTTGAGCCATCTTGGAGGCCATCTTGGGCCCTCGGAGGCCCTCTTGGAGCCATCTCGGGTCCAAACGGACGCTCTGCCACCTCGCGGGGGGGGGGGGGGCGCCCAGACGCAGGGAGGGCTCCCGAGCAGGGAAAGCAAGGAGATTGGAACAATAAACTCCCTAAACCACCTGCGCCCAGAGGGTCGGTGGGATTGCCCTGCACTTCCACATTCTCCGCTTTCTCCTTGTCCCTCTTCTCAGCCCCCCCGCGCTCGCGCGAGCCTACGAGGAGGCGTCGCCGTCGCGTCGCGGCTTCCCTCGGCTTCTTCTGCCCCCCTTCTTCTGGGCCTGGGCGAACGCCGAGGGAGGGCGGAGGGCCCCCCGGCGACGGCGGTGCCAGGCGGCCGCTATCGGCGACGCCTCCATCGGCAGCGGCGCCGCGAGCAGCGGGGCGGCGACGGCTGGCGGCGAGCAGCAGCAGGGCGGCAACAACAACGGCAACAACAGGACGGACCCCTCCTCCACCACGGGGGTCGAGATCGATACCAACAAGGCGGCGTGGCGGGCGCTGGCCAGGCGCACGGTGATGAGCGACGTGAAGCTCGTTGTTGAGCCGACGAGTCAGAGCCAGGTTCCACCGCCGTCATCATCACCACCATCATTGCCATAACAGTGTTTATTACCATCAAAGTCATGATCGTCATTTGTCTCATCATCAATTCCGTCACCCACATCATCCTCATTGTCGTCATCATCGTCTTTACACGTACAGCAACGTTCTTACCGCCGTACTTTAACAATTGTCACTGGCACGGCTTATTTTTATTCGCCAACATCAGAATCATAGCCATCGTAACCGTCATCATCATCTCCGCCACGCCAACACAATCACCATCATCATCATCATCATCATCGTCTTTCTCCTCCTTCCGCCTCCTCCTCCTCCCCCCTCCTGCCTCCTCGCCCCCCCCCTCCTTCCCCAGCGCCTCCGCCCCCCACTCGATCTTCAGATCCGCCTTCTGAATGATGTCGCGCTCCCTGCTGCCGCCGCGGGGGCTCGGGGCAAGGCAGGGGGAGGGGGGGGGGGGCGACGATGGCGAGAAGGGCGATGAGGTCGAGCATATTGATGGGGTCGAGGAAATGAACCATGAGGAGGAACGAGGAGACTGGCAGCCGGAGGGCGGTGGGGGGACGACGACGAGGGCGACCAGGAGAAGGGCGCCGACGCCGAGGGGTCGGCGACTTCGAGGGGGAAGAGCTATCCAGGCCAGGAGGGAGGACAGCAGGAGGAAGTCGGCCTGTGCGAAGGAGGAGGATGAGGGGGAGGACGACGACGACGACGACATCGGCGACAGGAGGAGTCAATCACAAAGGTCTTTGATCATTTCCCATTCTGAGAACGTCATTACATCTTGGAGGCCCCTCTTGGGGCCCAGGGCCCTCTTCGGGACCCTCCGTTCTTGGGGCGCTCCTGGGGCCCTCTTTGGCGCCGTGCGCGCCGCCCCTCGGCCCTCTCCAGAAAAATGGGGGCAGTGATGAATGGGGCGGGCGCCCCTCCCCGAAAGGAGGGAGTTTTGCGTTCCGCCCCTCAAGTTCAAACAGATCCTCGACGCGTCCCAGCTCTTGTCCAAGTGGCGCGGCAACCCGGGGTCGGATTACATCGGGGTGATCATGGAGCCAGCGCAAGCCAACGAGACCATCACCGCGCCGCACATCCGCGGGGCCCCTTTCCAAAAGAACCAGTACGCCAAGCTGATGGCGGGGGTCCTGGAGTTCCGCATGCAAAGCACGCCTGAGGACGAGGACGCCGGGCCCGCCAACACTGGCGATATGTTCATCGTGCTGGATGGCGGGAAGCCAGGACCGCATCTCATTGTTATCATTTTGCTTTGCTGTCGCTCCACTACCACTACTACTATACTACAACGACTACCATTATTTCTGCTACTCCCCTCTGCCTTCCCCTCCTTGTCTACAACATGTACTACTACTACTACTACTACTACTACCACCACCACCACCACCACCACTACTACTACTACTACTACTACTACTACTACTACTACTACTACGACTACTACTACTACTACTACTACTACCACTCTATATCCTTGACTCCGCTGCCCCCCATGAGGAAATACAACGAAGTTCTTCAAGCCGTTCAAGGACGGCGGTGAGAAGTGGTACAAGAAGACCATCTATATGATGTTTGACGAGGTTAGCCTGGCGAAACGCCGCGAGAGATTGTCAGGAGCGGCGGTGCTGAAACAGATCGAGACGATGCACGTCTACACCCGCTATCCCATCACGCTGCCGACCAAGAGGCGCAAGCACTACCAGGGGACCAACGCGGGTGACTGCGTGGGCCCGATCCAGCTGGACGACTGGTCGTCCGAGTGGGCTCTCACCTTCGACCAGAAGAAAGAGCTGTTCGGCCGCGCCCACAGGATCGCCGTCGGCGGCCCGACCGACGACGGCAACGACGAGGCCGGCGCCGACGCCGCCGACGAGGACTCGCTGCCCGCGAACCTGGAGGAATCGGTTCCGCCCACGGTGGGCGGCTGTGGCTTTCAAGCTCCGAAGACAGGCGCCCGCGGGGTGCAACCGCCACTGCGCTCACTGCCGCCTCGCCCCTCTTCACGGGGGAAGACGGGTGGGGAGAAAAAGGAGGAGAAGGAGGAAGAAGGAGGAGAAGGCGCGGGAGAGGGAAGGATGGGTGAGGGAGGCGGTGGAGGAGGAGGAGGAGGGGGCGGGGGGGAGAGAGGAGAGGCGCCCCCGCTCCAAGTTCGGGCATCCGTCAGGCGCCGAGCGCAAGGGCGACAACATGGAGACGGTCTTCTATCATGGGCTCCCGGTCCACTGGGCCGTTCCATATCCCGGCTCCGCTTGGCGGGCGTGGGGGAGGGAGGAGGAGAATAGTGAGGAGGCGAGGAGGTGGATCAGCAGCAGGAGGCGGCGGGCTTCACGTTGTGGCTTTGTGATAATACATATCACAATGTTTCATAAGGTTGTACCAACATCATTGTCTATTGGTGTCGTTGTATATATATAAGCTATAACCTCATACGATTCTGACGTACACATTCGCACTTTCTGTCATATCGTTGCATGCGTATTGCCGTGCATATTCTGACACCAATCAGATTTTTGTTGGCGCTACAAGGCTATAAGGGGGCTATAGGGCACCCGGGCACCCCTGGGCGCCCGAGCGCCCAGGCCCGGCCACCGAAATCATCGGCGGCGGGGCTCACCTAACCATATGAGTCCCCCTACAGAGGCAAGCTCTGATTGGGGTGTTTGGTCAAATCGATATCCAATCGCATTGCACGTTGTGACACCTGAGGTGAAATATTACGAGGACATGATTGGTTCCATGTGCCTCAAGAAGATCATTCACCTCACGGCTGGCAATGCCAACCTGGCGAAAGCGGCCATCAACATGCGCCGCGGCTATTTCGGGGTCGCCCTGACGCAGTACCATTTGGACATGATGACCGAGCACCTCGTTGATTGGATGCTGCTCCAGTTTGCAGATTCCAACAGCCCCCACTTCAAGCCTGCGTACGCTGCCGAGATGGGCGAGGACGGCGGCCCTCCCAATGACGGCGATGGCGATGAGGATGACCCAGCCGGGCAACCGGGCAAAAAGAGGAAGCGCAACGGGGCCGCCGACCCTAAGAAGGGCGCCGCCAAGAAGGGCGCCAAGAAGAAGAAGGGCACCAAGAAGAAGAAAGGCGAGGACGAGGATGAAGAGGACGACGAGGAAGACGAGGAGGAGTACGAGTCCGAGGACAGCGGCAACTCGAAGTAGGAGGACTTCCTCTGCGACCTGGCCATGGGTAGCTAGCTTGCCATTGCTGCGCTGACTAGGGTATTTGCAGCGCCCGAATGGCGCCGAGCAAGGCCTAGGTTGCCGAGAGAATGATGAGGATGAGAAGGGGGGGGGGGGAGGGGGGTGGAGGAGAAGGAGGTAGATGAGGAGGTGGAGGAGGAGAGCTCTCGGCCAGCGCTGGGGCGCTCTCCACTGCAGCGCGCGCGCTCGCCTCGCGCTCGACTCGAGCCGCCGCCGGCGGCGAGCGGGGGGACTGGAGTGCACGAGGCTCCTAGTCCTCTGTTATCCTCGTCTCAGCCCCGCTCCTCATCCCCAGCCACTCCTCTCTGCCCTCTTCCCCTCCTCCATCCACTCCTCTCTGCCCTCTTCCCCTTCTCCATCCTCATGCGCTCCTTCCTTCTCCCCGTCCACTCCTCTCTGCCCTCTTCCCCTTCTCGCGCCCTCCCCCATCTCCGTCCTCTCATCCACCCTTCCTCTTCCCTTCTTCTGCTGGGCGAAACGCGTCGTCGGGGTCCTGCGGTGGCCATCTTTTGCAGAAGTCGCCGCCGTCCACCTGCTGCGGCAGGCGGCGGCGGCGCAGGGAGAGCCGGCGGAGAGGGTCAGCCCCGCCCCCTCTAGAGTTTGCTTGCGGGCGGTCGGCCGCAGAGGAGAGGCAGCCGCCAGCGGCCAGCGGCTGCTGGGGGGCGGTCCCTCGCGAAGACCCGCGAGAGAATGAAGGCCTCCTGCACTGCTGCCCTCCTCCTCTTCCTTTTCTATCTCGTCCTCCTCCTCCCTCCCTCCTCCTGATGCTGCTGCTGCGGCTCCTCCTCCTCCTCCTCCTCCTCCTTCTCCTCCTCTCCCTCCATCTCTGCCACCTCGCTCGCGGGCGACGACAATATTAATGTGCCCCTCGTCATCGCCCTCGCCCCCGCTTCCCATCACCCCCTGCCGCTGAATAATGGGGCAGACAGAACGGGGGGGCGGGGGAGGGCGGAGTGGGGACTCACCTCGGCCAGATGACCCAGTCGTCGCCAAGTTGGCGGCGGAACCATTTCTCGCGCGACTGCTCTCAAGCGCGGCGATCGTCGGCTCCCGGGGGGGGGGGGCCCGCAGCAAGTGATTAAGTTGCATCGCCCTGTCCCCTCGTGCTCTTGGCCCCTTGCCTGGATGTCGGGCGCTCGATGGGGGGGCATCATTATCTTAACCATCGTGGGCCCCCCAACAATGGCTTCTAGCCGTCCGCGTGACGCAATATGCGTGGTGAAAGCTATGCGATGTAGCGGTGCAATCTGTGCGGTGTAAGATATGCGGTGCGCTATACATTTGGCGTAATCCGTGTGGTGCATCATTTGTGGGTATATTTGTGCGGCGAAATAAATGCGGTGCAGTCTATGTGGCCTAGGCTACGAAGTGCAATACATGTGGTACAACATGGGCAGTGCAATGCATGGCGGCGACAAGGCGGCGACGGGGCGGCGATGGCGGGAAGTATATGCCAGGCCGCCACCCAGGCCCCGTTCCTGAGGAGCAAGAACCCCCCTCCCCATCCCTAAGTGCGAGCACTGAATGGGGAACTGTCCAGGGGAACCAACTAGAGGAAAGCTTGGGCCCCTCGGGCCAACTCACGGGGGTGTCGAGCATGCTTTCTAAGGGCACACTCTTTATCGCCCTTTCGGCTCAAACAGGCGCGTTTGCCTTTCGGGGTGCCGATTCCGACGGCGCCGACGGCGCCTGCCTGCCTCGGCAATGGATTGGAGCAGCGACGAGGGTAATTTCCAGCCAGTTGCCAGGACTGGACTGCGACTGCCTGGAGGAATGCGAGGGTGTCTCGCCCGGGGGAATGCTGCGACTACTCCAGCGAGGCCGAGGGCGACGCCGCCGAAGCGGCCAGCCGCGTTTGCGGCGGGGGGGCAGCAGCCGTCACCCGCGAAACGCATGCCAGAGAAGTTGTACCCCAAGAAGCGCAAGGAGGCGGTGGTAACGGCGGTGAAGAAGAAGACGAAAAAGTTCACCCGGCGGGGGGTGTTCAAGGGTTACAAGCCGACGGGGAGGAAGGGCGAGATGCAGCGCAGCAGGATAAACGTTATCGACGGGGTCATCACTGGCGTGTCGGGCCAGCCGATCAAGGTGGGGACTGATTTCGGCGGGCTCGAGACGATGTCGCAGGCGTTGGAGAATCTCTGCGTCAGACACGAGCTAGCTTTCTACTGCGACAAGGAGCTCCACCTTCGGTCCTTCGTCGCCGACACCTTCAAGCCGACGAAGATCTACAAGGACGCCGTCGAGCGGGATACCGCCGCCATGCCGGCGGTGGATGTGTACATCTTAACCCCGCCATGCCAGCCGTTCAGTGACTACGGCCTGCGCATGGGCATCGACGACGAGCGCGGGTCCTTGCTTCACTCGGGGCTCCCGTACATCAAGGAGAAGAGGCCGAAACTTGTCTTGCTGGAGAACGTCAAGGGGCTGCTGCAGGGCGACAGGAAGAAGCACTACGAGAGCTTGGTCAAGAAGATTGAGGGTCTCGGCTACGAGGTCAAGTCTGAGATCCTGAACTCCATGTCTAACAACCTGCCTCAGAGTCGGCCTCGTCTGTACATGGTTGCCGTGCTTGGTTGGCCGGGCCCAAATGCCACCTTGGTGGTGGTGGGGGGGGGCGGGGGCAGCGGGCAGTGGAGTTGGAGGGGTAGAGGGGTAGCACAAAATCTTCAAACCAAGCGCCTGATCCGCCCCCCCCCCCCCCTCGGCCTGATCCAATATGGCCACGGAGGCAAGAGCGGAGGGGGATGCAAAAGGGAGAGATCAGAGAGGCACAAGGATGGGGGGGGGCATGCAAGCGAGGCGAGGATGGAACGGGCAGAGGGCGATGCCTGGGGGTTGGGTGGAACGGGGAGTAGCATCAAAGGGGCGTGAGAGGCCCGAAATACAAAAACAGAGCGCCCCCTACATCCTCCACCTCCTTCTCCTCACGCCGCCGCCGGCCCTTGGCAACCCCTCCCTTCTTGCGACCCCCGCAGGCGGATGGTACCCTGGCCGCCCCTTCAACTTCCCTTCGGAGCTCGAGCACAGGGTCTCCTTGAAAACCATTATCGGTTTGGGCCAGCGCCGGACCCGCAACTACTGCCCGCCGCCTACTGCGAACAGGCTTCGCGGGCTCTCGAAGAGGCAGAGAACCCGCGTGCTGGAGTGCGAGAAGGACGCCAAGGATAACTATGACATCGACCCCTGGACTGAACCAATCGTGGTCGATATCGAGTGCAGCGACACCTTTGCTTGTGGGTGGGACTACGATTTTACCCCGTGCCTGACGGCTTCGCGCGGGTCGCAGAAGGGATTCTGGGTCTCGAGCATGTCCCGGAGGATCAACACCCAAGAAATGTTCAAGCTCCAAGGGATGAGTCCCATCAAGATGGAGAAGTGGACCCAGCACATGAGTGAACGCGAGATCGGGTTTGCCATCGGCAATGCCATGTCTGTCACCGTGCTGGAGCGGCTGGTAGCGCAGGCTCTCTGGAGCGCGGGCCTGGTTTCCGTCAAGATCAGTGACCCCCACCTCGACAGAGCGTTCAGGCCTGCCTTCTTGCGCGGCTGAGCCTTGCGTCGGCAATCTATCAACGGGCGAGCGCCCGCTTGTTGATGCAGTCTGGATGCTTTTGCTTTTTCCTACTCTGTTTGTCCTGGTGCCCATTGCCTCCTCCATCTCCTGCTCCCAGTCGCCTTTCCCCCCTGAGCACGGACCTGCCCCCGCCCCTCTCTCCTCGTGCGTTTGCATTTTAGTTGGGTACTATCATCTGATCGTTCCTGATCATATTATGCGCGCGTGGCGCGGCGTGTATATTGCATATATGCGCATGCCATTGCTCAGATAATATAATGCCGCATATATCGTACTATTGCATGTGCTCGCGTACATGCATATATGCCACGCCGGCGCGCTGGTCACGTGTGCGCAGACTCCTCCCGATTGTCTTGCCATACTTCTTTGTAGCCTCTATCTCTTTCCACGGTGCGCCTGGAGTTCGCTGGACGCAGTGGCGAGGGCCCTGCCGCTGCGCGCGGAGAGTCGGAGCTCGTTCCTTGTTCACTGTCAGCAGCCAGTCGCCATTATTGTAGCTGGCAAGCTCCACGACGCTCGCTCGGGCTGCGAGCTCGCTCGGGTACGTTTGGCGCGGGTAAGCCGCGCTGTGCATGTCTTTTCGTGGGTGACGCACTAGTCTGAAAAGATGTCGCTTGATGGTTAACTCAACAGTGATTTCCTACCTAGGCTCTGCCTAGAGGGTTCTTACTTTCATGGCTGCTTAAAGGGGCCGGGCAGTGGACCTCGCCCCGGGCGGTTCCCCCGCCCGGCATCCCCCCCCCTCGGTTCCCCCACTTGCGCCCCCTTAGCTTAGCTTTGCTTATTTCATCTGAGCTTAGCGTAGCTCATCTTAGCTCAGTTTAGCGTAGCTTAGCTTACCTTAGCTTAGCGTAGCTCAGCTTAGCTTAGATTAGCTTAGATTAGCTTAGCTTAGCTTGGCTTAGCTTAGCTTAGCTTACCTTATCTCATCGTAGTTTAGCTTAGCTTAGCCCAGCCTGGCTTAGCTTTGCTTTGCTTTGCTTTAGCTGAGCTTTGCTTGGCTTAGCCTAGCCTCGCCTAGCTTAGCTTATCTTAGCTTTTACCTTAGCTAAGCTTAGCTTAGCTCAGCTTATCGTAGCTTGACGTAGCTTAGCTTAGCTTAACTTAGCCTAGCTTAGCTTAGCTTATCTCATTTTAGTTTAGCTTAGCTTAGCGTAGCGTAGCTTAGCTTAGCTCTAGCTTAGCTTAGCTGAGCTTATATTAGCTTAGCTTAGCCTAGCCTAGCTTAGCTTAGCCTAGCCTAGCTTAGCTTAGCTTATTT